CTTATGCAATGAACAGGAAATCATCTCTTCCCCTGTCGACTTTCTGCCTTCAGATTATTTATTGTTACTAAATGTGTGTTCTTCTTCTTTAAAGTTGGATTTAAGAGACAGTTTTTGTTAGGCTATGGAAATCAAAACAGATATGTGGTGATTCTTCCAAGCAGGTTTCTTTATTGTTCTACACCTACAGACAAAATCTTGCCAAACTGAAGCAGATTATTACCTAAATGAAGCTACATTCTGGGAACAATTAGGGAGGGGCTGTCTTCACCCTCTTTCTCTCACACACAAACTATCTGAGCCGAGTTACCTCTTATTCCTCTGGAATGTGCTCCCTCTCTCCTGGGAATCCATACTACATTTCATCAGTTTTACATTATACTTTACATAATATACCAGGAGCACCAGTAGTTAAACCTGATAGATGAGATGGGCAGTCAGTGTATTTTTCTTCCTGCTATTTTCCCTTGCAAAACTTTGTGGTAAGGGCTGCCCTCCAATTCATCTGCTCTAGTCGTGAGTTCTAAACAGCGTCACCTCTTTCTAAAGACTGCTGGCTGGGATCAAAATTAAATGGTGTAATTTCCTATCATTTGTAGTGGAAAACACCTCTGAGGAGGTAGCGCTACATGTGTTTTGTTTGCTTCAAACAAAAACAAATCCAAAATACTTCATCCATTTCTATGACACAATTCTGCCCATACTGCATTCTTCAATTATTAAAATAATTAAAAATATTCAATACAACTCCACACCACCTTTGTATATTCATAATATAAGAGACTGTATTACAAACCATTTATATCACATTGATCTTTTTAATGTGGATGTGGATCCTTCTAGACCAGGGGTGTCAAACTCGCCACGTCATGTGACGTGTCGCGATGTATTGTTACTTTTTTCCCCTTGCTGGAGCTGGGGTGGGCACGGCTTCTGTGTGACACATCCGGCCCGCGGGTCGGCAGTTTCACATACCTGTTCTAGACCTTTAATAATTTTTAATGTATATGCTTAAAGTCTGAATGAACATCTCAAAAGGTAGCAACTGAGTTTAGTTGAACTCAAAAAATTGAACAGTCTCAGATTTATTAATATTTGAGGGGTCCTTGGTGTTCTCTGAGCTTGGTTGTTTCCTTGCAGACGTTTCATTACCCAAACTAGGTAACATCATCAAAGACTAGCACTGATGATGAGAGCATAAAAGACTCTTCATGTCAACTCTGAGCTACAAATATTCTCCTTTATCAATTACTCCATTCCAAAAAGTCACACGCACTTAGGTGTGAGGAGTCAACTGCAACAATTTTACAAGCAGAGATGGCTATGAAACTAATAGTTCCTTCTACTAATTAAAAAAAATCTGTACTGATTAATAAAATCTTCCTTTTGTTATTCTTCCTTTTTTTTTTCCAAAATAGAAGTACAGCATTCTTCATTATTATATTAAGGAGAGCTATGTCAGTGTGTTATGTCTCAATATTATAGCAACTTTTATTGATGAATGGGAAAAAGCATTTCTTCTTTGGTTAGACAGGACCAGTAAATTGGCCCAAGACTAAAGGCTATACTGGCACATAAGAGCAGTATTTTAGAAGGCAGTAACAGCAAATTGCTATCTTAATTCAGCCAAATAAACTCTACGGAATTTATGTGAAATCACCAGGAAACAAGCTCAAAATAAGAGAGAACTTCATTATTTTCTTTGGAAAGACAGCTAGGAAACAGATGTAAAACAGTAATAATATAATGATATGAAAATCACAGATGTAAGACTTCCATAATTGTTTAGCATGCTGAGTCTCGTTGTTTCTTATCTGAATTAAACATCTAAACGATACTGCCCATTAAGAATCACCATGCAACATGAATTGCAAAACCAAGGAAGAGCTATCAACCTGTCTTTCCTTTCTTAGGGAGGCTTCTCATAGACTCTTCAAAACTGTCATTATTTTTTTTTCACTTGTTATATAACGTGCGGTTTCTGTTTGTCATTTCTATTTTTTTCCACTGCTAAAATGGCAATATTTATTTTCCTAACTAGGTTCATATGCTTCTCCAATCATTAACTGATTTGAACGATTTACCCTCTATAATAGGATTAAAACTTATTTACAGTAACAATATAATCAGTTATTTAAGCTGTGGAGAACAACCAAATAAACAAAGGCAGAACATTCGTCCTACAGAATGAATATTTACTGTTACAAAGATGATTTTCACTTATTGCAAAGAGATACATTCTTGGTTATAACCCAATATACTGCACAACAAGGACAATAAGAATAAGCTGAGGTCTATGCTTTTACTAAAAGTGCAAATGTAGCAAACATGGAGGAATTCTGGGAAATGTAGAAAAAAGAGAGGAAGAGGACCACCAGCAACAAGGTAGATGGACTCAGTTATGGCGGTGCTGTGTGCACCATTGACAGACTTGAAAAGAACAAGCCAAGGCTAGATGGTCATGAAGGAAAATTTATCTAGGTGGTTGCTAGGAGTGGAAAACTACTTGACGACACATAATCAATCAATAGCAAGTTTCAAGAATTGCTAAGTGCATTACCCAGAAAAGATGTAGTATTTGGAACATTAACATTGAAGAAAGAAGAGAACTTGGAAAATTGAACTGAGCAAGCACAATTATGCAGAGTTAATAAAGATATTATATACTGGAAAGGTAATTCTTTATCCATTGTCAACATTTGCTTCAAGGAATGTGAATGTATACTGTGTGCCTGAAGATGGACAACTTTGGAATCAAATTGATGGTATAATAAGAAACAAAATTGGGGGGAAAGCCGTTCAGCCAACCAAAATACTTCCAGGTGCAGCAAAACAAACCATGAATTACTGATATCATATACAGTAGGGGTCCCCAACCCCTGATCCGTGGACCAGTACTGGGCCACGGCATGCCAGCAACTGGTCTGCACAAAAAAAAAACCATCCGTGGGATATAGGCAGCACACAAAACGACGCCCCCTCCGGTCCGTGGAAAAACCTCTCTCCACTGAACCGGTCCCTGGTGCCCAAAAGGTTGGAGACCTCTGATATACAGCCATTAGATTTAAAAAAAGAACACTGGTACACCAACAAAACTTTACATGGAGGACATAGTGTCAGAATTTAAGTGTAATATAAGATACAGAATCAATACTTTTAACTGTAGCAAAAGAGAACCCTAGGGGCAGGTGACAAGATAAAAGATAAACGAATCAAGCAGGAAAAAAAATGGTAAAAAAAAAAAGAAACCCAAACAGCTTGAAATCAAGAGAGGACAGTGGATGAAAGCCATAGTCAAACAGGAAGTATAATAATTGAAGGTAAGCTTTCCAGTAAAAAGGGACAAAGCATACCATCTTAACGGAAAATGTCAACAGAGAAAAATACCGGTAACAAGAAAAGGAAAATTGCAAAGACGATTACAGATAAGGTCATTCAAGAGCACTACTGGCACAAATATGAAAGAAACAATGAAGTTACAAGAACATACATACAAAAACCTACAGAAATATAGAAACTATTTATAAATGGGATTATACAATAAAAGAAATATTTGTGGAGAGAAAATATTTTCTGGAACTGACTCTGTTAGAAAGTGGAGAGAGAACAAGAAGCAATAAACCACTTGTCAAGCAAAAATGCCCCAGGTGCAGATGAAATACCAGTGATAGTAGATACATGAGAGGGAAGGGGAAGGGAAGGGAATGGAGGGAAACGCTAAATAAAAGTGCTGCTTGTGATTCAGTTTCCCTCATGACTTTTTAACTTTATCCAGTTTGAATTGTGACAGAATGGTGTAAAAAATAAATCACAGAAAGGAAACTGAAGCTAAACCTAAGTCAGATGCATTCCTGTTCTGGTGTGGTGATCATGGGCTAAAGTATCACTCTGGGTACCACATTTCCAGAAAAAGTGATAAATTAGAACTGATTCAGAAGATGGCAATGATGACATTACAGGGATCTGAAGGCATGCTCTATAAGGACAGTCAGAAAGAAAGAAGATTTATGTATCTATGTATTTATTTATTAACTTTATAGATCAGTGATGGCGAACCTTTTAGAGACCGAGTGCCCAAACTGCAACCCAAAACCCACTTATGCATCGTCGGGTGCCGGGTGGGTGTGGCCCATTGGGTGGGCATGGCTGCGGTGGTAACAGCAGACTGGGTGGGACTAAAAAGTTCAATCAATCAATTCCAACTTTGCAAGATCTTTTTTTTCCTGTGAGAAGTTGAAATTGACTGATTGTTTGAACCTTTTTTTTTGTACATGGCAGCGGAGACCTAAAGCGAAAAGGTTTTATAAAACCCAGCTGAAGGCCTAGGACTGGGGCGACGGTGCGCGTGCCCATAGACAGGGCTCTGAGTGCCGCCTCTGGCACCCGTGCCATAGGTTCGCCACCACTGTTATAGATTAAGAAGAGACATTATATCAGCATTCAAATACATTGCAGGGTGCCATGGAGAAGACAGAAACTATTTTCCACTGCTACAGAAACTAAAACCAGAAATAATGGATATAGGTTGCTACCTATTTAAGTATAAGGTATATTTAAATGTATCATTTAAATATAAGGAAACACTTTCCGATAATAAGATATATACAACAGTGGAGTAGCCTATGTAGGGGCACTGTGGGTTCTCCAACTGTAGAGGTTTTTAAGAAGAAAACTGAATTGTTTAATAGACTTTTCAGTACATGAATGACTTAAGGATGATGGACACCACTTTGATTTGTGGTGGGCAAATGCCATTAGAATAGCTGTCAGTATAGATAAGCATAGAAATATAAAGGGAAATGAATGTACAATGCTTCCTGTAATGGATAAAACTCTTCAGTACATGTGATTAAAAAAAAGGCCTTAAAAACTCCATGAAAAGTGACAAAACATCTTTATCTTCTATAATGTAAAATTCAGTAAAACCATTAATTTTCTTTATCTGCCTGCAGAGAAATGCCATTTGAATGCTTAAAGGTAGATGCAATTTAATGTCTTACCTCTGAATTTTTTAGGAGGACTGTTAAGATCACCTGTTTCTGGTTGTACAACACATCGGTCATCAACAAGTCTGCAATAAGCAAAAATGGAAAACAGAATTAACATTTCAATCACCAGACTAGTATTTTTCAGACACCAGTTTAAGATCTCTTTGAAGAAGAAAAAAAAATAAGTCATCCAAGATTAAGTTAGAAAAGCAGCTGAACTATCTGGCTTTTCCCGGACAATACATTCTATCCTTCTTATTTTCATTTGTGTTCCTCAAAAATAGAATAGAATAGAGCTGGAAGGGACCTTGGAGGTCTTCTAGTTCAGCCACCTGCTCAAGCAGGAGAACCTATACCATCTCAGACAGGTGATTGTCTAGTCTCTTCTTTAAAATCTCCAGTGTAGGAGCACCCACTATTTCCCTTCTCATACCAAAATCTAATATTCTAATTACAAATCTTATCTTTCTAGTTATGATAATACTTCTATTTCTAGCAATTATCTATTCTCTACCACATTCAAACATCTAGTTAATAATATAATATCCCATCTAATGGATCAAAACCTCTATTTTCTTCGGTCTTACTCTAGCTTTCTTCCTTTGCCAACTAACTTTCCAAGTTAATGCATTTGAATCATCAAGTAATTTTTCCTCTATTTTTGTGTATATTGTTTGGACTAAGAAAGACCATTTGCTTAAAGTATTTTTGGAAGAACAAACCCATTGATTTTCATTAAACAGCCTCCCTCCTTCTCCAATTCCCACAGTTCTCCTAACAGCTCTATCTTCCATTCAATCAGTTCTTCTTCCTTTTTCTCAAATGTGTTTTGAATTCTTGATTGGAAAGATGTAGATAACCTTTATTGTCATTTTTTTCCTGTGGGCACAATGGCACACATTAAAAATGAAATTTAGTTGCTTCCTCTCAAAGTTTACACATACATAACACATATTTAAAACATACTATATACAACATATGTATAGACCTACACCCTTACATATAAGTAACATATAAATATTAATCACTGTCCATCTTGAATACATAATGGAAGGAGGAAGCTTTAGGGTTCACAAGGTTAATACTGTATGGAACAAAGCTGTGACTGAATCTATATGTTCTGCTTCGGATACCATGGGAACCCTGTGTAAGCCAGCAATGATCACTGATGAGTGGCAAAAGTCTATAGGCAGAAGGTAATTTGCATAATTACATGTTTAATGAAGAGAAGGACTAGAGGTGACATGATAGCAGTGTTCCAATATCTCAGGGGTTGCCACAACAAAGAGGGAGTCAAGCAATTCGCCAAGGTACCTGAGGGCAGGACAAGAAGCAATGGATGGAAACAAAAAGAGAAGCAACCTAGAACTAAGGAGAAATTTCCTGACAGTTAGAACAATTAATCAGTGGAACAACCTGTCTCCAGAAGTTGTGGATATTCCAACACTAGAAGTTTTTAAAAGAGATTGGACAACCATTTGTCTGAAATGGTATAGGGTTTCCTGCCTGAGCAGAGGGTTGGACTAGAAGACCTTCAAGGTCCCTTCCAACTCGATGATGATGATGATGATGATGATGATGATGATGATGATGATGATCTTATCAAAAACCATAAACCATCAGCATCATGTAGAAACAAACTGAGTCAGGATAAGTGCTGTACTAGAAAGTAATAAAAGTTTAAAAAGACAAGATAGTGAAATAAATTACTGATAGCAAAATGACCAGTTATAACCAGAAACATTTATGCAAGTGACTATAGAAGGTATTGGCTTAAATGCCCCTTTTTTAACATATTATTATGCTAAACAGCTTTTCCTTCAAAGTACATACAAATAAAATATATATAATATCTTTATTCATGTTTATATATTTATACAGCTTCCAAATATAGAACTTGTAAAAACATCATCATTTGTCATTAATCCATTACAAAAGCTTCCGTACTCTAACTTCTACATCAACAGGCTGTTGACAAGGCAACCCATTGGCTGTATAGATATACATAAGAAGTGACATGTGTTGACTGATATTAATGTTTGTTAACTCCTAGGAAACCAGATACTGTCTTATCTCAGACCAAGCTACTTCCTGTAAATAAACATCAGTATAGGTGCACATATTATAAGACTAGAAATAAACGTTGCTTCTGGAAGTAATTTGGGCCAAGTCAAAAGCAGAAGATCCAGCAAGGGAAGGGTGTGTATATACATTTAACTGTTTTTCTAATTTATTCTAAAAATAGAAAAATAAACCTTATATATTGCTGGCTGGAGACAGTTTGGCAGTAGGTTTATGGTTGCCTCCATGCTTTTAAGTGAAATTTAGTATGGGCTTCGCTATCTCTAACATCTGGTGGGTCTCGTTGTATAAATATGGAAACTTCCAGTAGATCATGAGGCTGATCTTTGCTGAGATGAAGAATTTAGTTTACAAGCTACAAGAGACCTCTCTGTTTTGGCTCCCAGGAATTCCTTCTGACTCATTAATGGCAGTTCCACTTTGAAATTACATTTATTTATTTTAATAATTGTAGAACTGCCATCACACTACAGTAACTCTAGACTGCTACCAAAAAACCCTCAAAAACAATAGATAAAAATATAATTCATAACCCTTATCCAAAAATCCTCATTCACTCATTGAAGCAACTTAAAAGTAAGCAGCTGGGCTTACTCAACCTTTTGGCCCAAATGCTTGTTAGAATATCGAAATCTTTAATGACTTGGAAAAGACCAAAAGAGTCAGAACCCATCGGATCTCCAGGACAAGCACAGAGATAGAGAAGGCACAATGTCTATATCATTGTCTAAAGGTAAGACCTGGACTATGCCATCTCTGCTGGCTCTGGTGGGAGCCAGAGCAGAGAGGCAATCAAGGTGATTAGGAGGAAGAACTAGGGCAGGGGTCTTCAAACTTGGCCCTTTTATGACTTGTGGACTTCAACTCTCAGAATTCCTCAGCCAGCATGCTGAGGAATGCTGGCTGAGCAAAGGCAAGTTTGAACTAGGGTCTTAAAATAAAAAAATTACATTCCAAGTCACTGCCCAATTGGCTCTTTTACAGGGATGCACTGGGATAATTTATTTTCTTTATAGTCCTCAGCTGGATTTCAAATCGATCTTTCTGTTGCAAATTTGCACAGCCAATTTACTTCATTTCAATTCAGTTTTTGACAACCTTATCCTATGATGAAGGAAGTCCCAAACCTCCACTGATTTGCAAAGAGTAAACTTCTGCAATACTTTAGTCTCTGTTGCAAAATAGATTAATTTTAATTTAAAGCTCAGAGCTTGTCATGGTTTAGCTACTTGCTAGATCGTTTGTAGCAAACAAAACAAAGAAGACCCCAAACCTCAGTGAAGGAATCTTGAAGGAATCATTTGGCTTTCAAAATTTTGAAAGTTTACAACATAGTTTTGTGATCTAAAATCACAAAGTTTACAACATAGTTTTGTGATCTAAAGCTCTGACCTCAGCTCAGCAGTGAAATAGAACATAATTGGCACCTGGAATGACACTGTGTCATTAGAAATGATACAATGAAGAAACCAGATGCCATCTAATGCCAGATTCCAGTTATACAGAAGAGAGAATGTTTTCTGATGTTTCATCTCACTTGTATACCTTATTAAAGAAAACCCTAATTCCTTGTAACACACCACTCTGTCCCCCAAATAATGCATATAGAAAACGAGAGAACAGAAATATGAAGTCAAAGTTTATCTTACAGTTTTCTGAAATTATAGCAAATAGATTGTTAATTCTAAAAGAGGGGTAGATTCACCTTCATCAGAAATTAGATCATAGGCAAATAATTATTATTCTGGGACTATAGAAAGAAAATCGAAATTGTGTATATAGTATTAATGGCAATTAGGTTTATTACTTGGATATAAAAACACATTAAACCTAGTCCATTTTCTTTGTTCATGAGTTCTAATATGTAATCTCTTGCAGGTTTCTAACTTTAATGTGATATAGGAATAAAAAAACTGAGTTTTTTTAATATTTGGGAGGATTGTTCATATTAAATACTATTTTGATTTTTTTAAAAAAATACTGAGGATTCAGAACTACTAATATAACGTTAGTTAGTCTAAGGCTGCATGTCATCTTAGCCATTTGATCATTATTCTAGTTATCTTTTCCACATGCTTAAAACTCTTCTTGAACACCAACTATGAGATACTGGGTATTGCCTAAGAATTGGGAAATATTCATACACAGGCTAAGCAGTAAGTAGCTTACAGTTCACCACAGCAGCTTTTTCCAGCAAAAGCATCAAGTAAAACTTCAAATGAATTGAAGTTTAATAAAACTACCCAAGAATTAATACCAAATCAGTTCTGCTCACAGAAAGGAGGCAGTTATTAATATTTATGTGATCACAATGGCCTATGTATTTAATACTTGAAAATCTTGGGAATGCATTCACAATTTTATTTAACTTCTCTATTTATCTCATAACTACTTCTAGCTGCAGATAAAGCAGATGCAACGTCTATAACGATTTCCTTCCTGCCTTCTCAATAGAAGGTTCTCAGTTCCCTATAATTTTCTTCATCTATTCATTTTCAGTTCTCAAGTGCTTCAGTTCTTCTTTACAATAATAGTAGAGTTGCCTGCAGAGAAGTATAATTCAATAATTTAAGTATGTTTAATAAATGGGATATTGCATGTTGGAGTTGTCCACTCTTTTGTAAAGGGTACTTAAAAATACTGTAAACAAATAACTCCTTTGAGTCAAGCCCAATTCCAGGTGATTACATGGATACATCTATATAGATTTTTTTTGGCAATAATACAGAAGTGATTTGCCACTGTCTTCTTCTAAAATGTTCCTTTCACTTTCCCAGTCTAGCTAACTAGCTGGAATACTCCCATTCTCATAGTAACAAGAATATTCTTCTCTTCTAAGTTCAGCCAAGGTAGGTGCTACCATCTGCTAAAGCACAGAATACTGTAGTCATCAACAACTAGTGTTTTCATTAAAGCTTTCTTATTCAATTGTGAATCAAAACAGGTTTTGAGCCCTGTTATATGCACATGCAAAGCCTCATGAAGCAATGAGACTCCAGGTCTGTATGGGATATTAGAGTCTTAGTTTCCCATCCTGGATAAACATGCTCCGAGCTAAAAAATCAGGCTCTTCTTATGTCCAAAGAAACTCAGCTTTTTCTCCATAATGCTTCATCTAGAGAATTTTGTGACAACAATACTTCCGTTTTGTAAATTTATATTCTATGTAATACATTTCGTATTGCTTGAAGGTTCGTTAAAATTGGTAATATAGTAGATCTGTGAAATTTTATTATAATGTACTGTATACATCCTATATTTACATATGCACATAAACACTTTTAGATTGTCTACTTGGCAACGTCTATTGAATTTAACCAAGAATTGCTGCTGTTACTGTTGTGTGTTTTTTAAGGTCCTGGGTAATATATATTGTATCTTGTTATAGTTGACATTTTGTTCGGCTGAAGAAATATAGATATTAGAAACTAAATGCTATTTGCTTATGAAAAGGTTATGAAAAAATGTATTACTCTGTATAACTTATTTCTTAGTTTAATATTTAAATCATGATCCAATGAAATCATTGCCAAAAAAGCAACATAGAAGTATAAGAAAAACAATGCTGTTCCTCTTTTTGTAATTAGCATGCAATAGAGTCTTAGTATGAGGCCATCTGTATAAAAAAAAATTGTATAAGATTTGTTGTTTCTCTGATCCCTTTTTATTGTCTAATTACTTTCAGAACACTGCTGGTTCCTTATCAAAATTTAACATTTTATATTATTTATTGCCTTCTATAAGGAAGCAAAGAATGCTTCCTATATTAAAGGAAAGTTAGTAGCTAATATAGTATAAACTATATGTACACTATATAAATCACTTCTCAAAAGTACCACTTATACAAAGTCTGTTTATATATACATATTCTGTCATATTTAAAAATCAAATCTTTCTCTCCCCTTTCCTGGCTTCCCTTACTTTGAAGTCTTAAACTTTTATGGAAACCCAGCAGTCTCAGAATCTAGTCTGCATGTCTAGATGCAGCATGAAACCAAATCTTAGTATGAAAATAACTTGTAGTAAGCATTCATATCAGTGTTTATCCTATCATAGCTACCAGGAAAATATAAGTTTTGACAGAAGAGTACTTCACTTCATGTTAACTGCCATATGACTTGTTTAAACAAGCCAGTTTCACAACCTACAGGTTGAGACTGGTTCATTGCAAGCAAAAAACAAATTATTTGAAGTTTGGCAGGTTCGAGTAATATTTGCAAGGTATGGGCAATGCAGACTAAAAATGGTGTTGAAGAAGAGAGGTGATATATGAGCCAAAGCTCCCTGTTGTGTGTCTTCATCATCTGTTCATAATACAAAGTCCATACCCAGCCAATAGCTGAGTTCAAATACCACACTAAGCCACAATGTGGTTTGTTTAATTTTGATATAGTCTAATTAAGCACAGTTATTACAGTTTTGATTCAACATAAAAAACAGGCCATTCTGTCTTAATCAGTAAATTAAAATAAACCATAGCTTTGCACAATTCACCAAATAATTTCAATACAAACTCACTACCAAACTCCTAAGAGTAGGCATAAGTAAAGTCAGTGGGAAGCCAGCTTCACTTAACAACTGTGTTACTGACTTAACAACTGCTATGATTCACTTAACAACTCTGGCAAGAAAGATCGTAAAATGGGGCTTAACAAATATTTCACTTAGCAACAGAGATTTTGGGCTCAACTGTGGTCGTACGTCAAGGACTGCCTATTTAGTATAAATGAATGCCATAGGGCAGTGGTGGCAAACCTTTTAGAGACCAAGTGCCCAAACTGCAACCAAAACCCACTTATGCATTGCCAGGTGCCGGGTGGGCGTGGCCACTGAGTGGGTGTGGCCACCGAGCTGTCGGCTCGTGCTCGCTCGCTCGCTGTCTGCTCCGACTCGTGCTCACTCTTTTGCTGTCTGCAGCAAATGCTGCTTCTGCCGAAAGTTGCTCCTTTTATAGCCTCTTGCCTATTTCCAGACTGCACATGTGCGGAGGCACATGCACAGAGAGGAGGAGGGAGCAGCTCAGCCCAGCAATGGGTCGCATGCCACCAGAGATGGCTCCGTGTGCCGCCTGTGGCACACATGCTATAGGTTCACCACCACAGGCATAGGGGTCTGGGTACTCGAAGAACTGCCTACCTCCCATAGTATCTGCCCAGATAATTTGATCTTGGAAAGTTGGCATGGCCAGGGTTCCTTCAATTAACTAATGCCATCTATTGGGACATGTAACAGCACCTCCCACAGATCCAGGTGGTGCCCATCCTGCTGGTGTTTTTGCATAACCTTGAAGATCTGGATCTTCATTCAGGGTTTTGGTGAGGGTGACCAAAGATCCCATATGTTGGGTTTGCTTGTTGCTCGGATTTTGCCATCTTTCATTCTTTGATTTCTATCACTATATTATTTTATTGTTCTGAGTGCTGTCATCTATAAACTGCCCACAATTACTGGGAGTTGAGTGATGTAAAATAACTAATAAATGCCTCCCATTTACACAGTTCCAAGTTTACTGCAAAAAAGATTGCTCATAATTACTGTCAAGTCTACAAAATTTGTCTCAGGTTGATAATGTGTCAACAAAAACCCCACTGTGCACCATCTTCCTTACTTTCAGTAACAAGAACCCCTTCTAAACATCCTTCTTTCCCAATTCTTTACCCTGAATATAAAGCGACAGTTCCATTCTTTGATATCCCTTTAATACCATCCTCAGAGCATCAAAAATTAAGGAAAGTAAAAGGGAGGAATTGGGTTTTTAAAAAGAAAAATAGTTAGATTTGGCTGAAATGTATTCACTCACCTGGGAAACTTCTTAACCCAGGATTTATGGCTGTAGAGGGAAAAAAGAGATACCCAGTACTGTTAAACTCTGGATGATGGCATACACCAGTGGTTCTCAACCTTTTCTTTACCATGGACCCCATTTAAATATCTTCTGTGGCCACAGACCCCCAAGACGTAACTCAAGATTTAAATCATAACATTTCTTCGAGCCTTCGCGGACCCCCTGTGACGACATCATGGAGCACAAGGGTTCGCAGACCACAGGTTGAGAACCACTGGCCTACACTATTAGATGTTTAGTCCCGTATTTTTCAAATGACAGCTCAATAAATATATTCTGTACAGTGTAAGAAAGTGGCTGCTCTTACCCCAAAGTGCTGATAAATCCATTTGTTGAACCCTCTGCATACAAAGAACAAATGTCTCCAATGTGCAAAAAACTTGACATCTTGTCAGACATCTGGGGCTTGCTGGCTCTGGAAGGAGAGAAAAGGAGCTTATTAATATTAATCAGTTCAGCAACAGCATTTGTCATGGTGACTGAGGTTTAAGGAAAGTTTGTCACCAATATAAATTCACATGAGTTACACCCAACCATAGAGGAATATATAGGGAGTCCTTGGCTTACAACCATTCGCTTAGTTCAAAACTACAATGTCAGTGTCATGACCCCGTTGGAGCCCGGATCCAAGGAGGAGGAAGAGATGGAGCCGGGGCCAATGGAGGGGGATGTGCAGTCCCTATGGCTCATGAGGAATGACCTGAGAATGAGGACGAGGTAGTCCCAGGTCCTTCGGGCCTCGGAAGAGTAGGCAGGGAGGAAGAGAGAGTGCAGGCTGACCGAGGAAGGGGGGGAGGAGATGGAAAGGCCAGGCAGCGGAGCAGACGAGCGGCAGAGCTCCGGAGATGAGCAAATGTCTCTCCCGCCCGATCCCCGAGTGAGAAAAATGGAGAGAAGGCAGAGGCAGCACAGGGCAACCTGACTACTTAGGAGCAGGGCGCCCTGCCCCTCTTCACGAGGTTCACCTGGAGAGTAGAATTTAAGGAGACACCATGAGGAGGGGCTTTTGCCAGGAACAGGTGTTTGTTTTCAGATTACACTCCCTCAGCTTTGACTCAGACTGCTTTAGCCTTGCTGTGAGGACTGTTGACTTTTCTATGTTTTTTTTGCAGTAGTTGATAATCCAGTACAGGAAGTGGGAGAACAAGAATCCAGGAAATGAGAGAGCCAGTTTGGTCTAATGGTTAAGATGCTAGATTAGAAACCAGGAGACCGTGAGTTCTAGCCTCACCTTAAGCGTGAAAGTCAGCTGGATGACCCTGGGCCAGACACTCTCTCTTAGCCCAACTCACCTCACAGGTATGTTATTATGGGGGAAATAGGAGGAATGTGCTGGATATGTTCTCCACCTTGAGTTATATTTGTAAAAGTAATAAAGGTGGTGTAAGGACCTGCCCCAGCTGATCCTCTCAGGAAAGCGTGACTCTTGACTCCATAAGATTAATCAAAGGAACTTTTACTGAGAGAAAGTAGTTGCAGTACAGTCAGGCAAAATCTAACAGTCCTGCGCAAAGCACAAGGCAATTCTTCTATTCCAAACCCAACACCCCTGACCAGTCCATCGGCAGCTAATACAGTGCCATAAGGTTATTTTGAGAGCTCTGAGGTACAGGCTTGATAATGGGTTATGGTCAGGGCACAGCGACCTTGGAGTCAGACTGGAACCGGCTGAAAGGGAGTCCATCTCATCTCCGAAAAAAAGCAAAAGCATGTAAAGAATGCTCCTTCAGAAAAGAATGTTCCCCCTCCAACAGAACAGCAGGGCACCCAAAAGAGGACCTGACAGGTGGATACAAATAACTAAAATTAAATGGAGCACTTCAGGAATAGTTAAGGTCAAGGAGATGGCAGGCTTGGCATCTGAGCTTCCTCACTTTGGGTAGCAAAAAGTGGGAGAACATCTGAAAGATTTGTCCAGAGAGCTCTATTTATAACCCTGATGAGAAAAAAAATGCCAGCCTTTTTCCCCCCTTTTAAATGTATATATATGGTATACATACCAAGTCAAAAGAAGGCATGATACCTTGGCAACTATCTTTCTCCCAAGAAATCCAATAATTTTGCAAGTGGCCTAATGAGAGATATTATCATGAATATGGACAAAACCCAAAGTCCTTTAAAATATTATTGTACTTTAAAAATAACTGAACAGCTATTAAAGAAAACTGATGAAGCTGCAGGCTTTTTTTAACTAAGAGGATTTATGAGTGTATGGGGAGGAATAAATATTGTGAAAATGAGTATTTACTCAAGATTGATTTCACTTAGATACTTTAAATAAATTGGTATGTTAGTTATTATATCACTATGGAATGGTCAAACTGCAAGGCTTTCTCTTTTAAGGCTACGATTTTCATATTAAAATGGCAGTGATATTATGTACTGAAATAAAGATGACAACAGAGTAAAGCATCTATGAAATCCCAGTAAATATTTTGTTCTAAGGATAATAGGAAATCTGTTGTATTTCTAGCACTGAATTTATTTTAGATATCTTTGGACAATATTGAATAGTAAATTAAAATCTGATCCGATTCTCCTGAGAAATTGATTCCCTGAAATAATTCTTAACTAAAAATGGCAAGGTTTTTTGGTTTGGTTTGGTTTTTTTCAAAAGTGTAGGTAGAAAATGGTACAACTGCAATGGTCTCATGATTAATGATATTTTTAAAACCTTTGAAATGAAAAAACAACAACTATAACTCACCCAAAATAGCTGAATTGGTAATACCCTCATTTAAAGTACCCATTATGCTCTGCATGGAACAGAGGCATTGTTGCTGCAGTAATCTATATGGTTCCAAATGTATTAGAGAAACCTTTTTAGAAAGCTAAGCCAACAAGTCAGTTTGTTTGAAAATTGAAAAATACTAAATAAATATGGACAATATACGAAGAATCTGGAACAGATTGCTGGAATTTCCTAAAATACAGATTAGATTGCCTCAGGTTTTAATGTACAGCGAGCCCTCGAATTATGACCATAATTAGGAGCAGAACTTTCATTGTTAAGTGAGGTGGTCATGAAGTGAGGTCATGTCCAATTTTACAAACCTTTTTTTTTTAACTACAGTCATTAAGCAAATCTGGCTTCTGCCTTGGACACTGTTGGAAGCTGGCTGGCAAGATCATAAATAGCAGTCACGTGACCCTGAGACCCTGCAAATGTTGTAAATACATGCCCAAATTTTGATCACGTGACTACAGGACGCTGCAATGGCCAGCCAGAGGTACCCTATGGTAAGATGGGCAGCCAATAAATTTTATAAATAAATAAATAGTCATAAGTGTGAGGATTAGTCATAAGTCATTATTTTCAGCATGGTAGTAACTTTCAATGGTCATTGAACAAATGGTCTTAAGGAGTACTTGCATAATCAAATATGTTTTCTGAGATCTTAAAACGAGGCTAATTGATCCAAAATTATTGTTCTGATCTTTTGGGGGTTTTAACAAAAAAAAATATTGACGTTCTTTTACAGGGCATGCAATATATTTGAAAATATTTTAGCATACGTATTTTAATCATGCCCTTTGGTAGCTTCTAAATCAGGGGTCTTCAAACTCAGCCCTTTTATGACTCATGGACCTCAACTCCCAGAATTCCTCAGCCAGTGTGCCTGGCTGAGGAATTCTGGGGGTTGAAGTCCATGAATCATAAAAGGGTTGAGTTTGAAGACCCTGTTCTAAATGGTTGAATATTCTCACAAGGGATCGGGTTCTTAGGAGGCATTTAAGATTTAATGGTCTTAATATATGACTGATATTTCAAAAATATGGAATACGTCAATTTATTTTGGATTTACTGTGCTTGGACTGTTGCCAAAAAGGTCGTCGAATGTTCTGGGAAAGACCTATGTACCAAACACCAAAGGTTGTTTGATGAAATGTGGCATGTCTAAGCCTTTAATTGTTTTTTATTACTATTATTTTAAAGACCAGAGAATGTGATTGTTTATGATCCACATTCAGTAATGGATTCTATATAAGCAGGGTTTTCACATGGAGACAATTATTGTTGCATTTGTAATGCTGCGTTTGATTTAGCCTTTTTTCTTTTCTTTTTGTTCTTTGGTTTATGTGGCAGAATCGGAAGGATAATCTGGATCCCCTGCGTCACAGAGCAGAATTTGCAAGATCAGGCAGAGACAAGCCTGGTTTGATTGTCCTTTGGGTTTTACAAATAGACAACCTTACTAGGCAAAAAGGAGAATTTTTTTATTGAATCCTTTTTATCAAAACAATGTCCATAACCACGGCTTATTTTTACACTGGAATATACAGTACTTACTTAGATCAGGAGGATTCTGGCTACAGAACTGTATTACGTCAAATCTGTTCTAATAAGTGTTGCTAGTGAATTTAAGATTCCAACTGAGGAGTCTTAAGTAGTACAGCCCTGGAAATGGTTTTAATTATCAAACTGTGTACCATATCAACAATATTAAAAGAAGGGAGAAATGCTTATATAAGGGAAAGAAATTCTTTTTAAGCACCCACACTTTCACTGTCCACACTCCAGAGGAATATTAAGCCACTTCTAACTTCAATCCTCTAAGTAAAAGTAACTTCCTAACCTTTCATTATTAAGAAGTGTCATCCAGCTTAAGAGGATTATTTTTCCCCATTATGTGTTACATTTCAAAATCACTGCACTTCAAGGGTTTCAATTTAGTTTATTAAATTAATAACTGCAGATTCCTAAATTTGTGATATCAAGATAACAGGAAAGCTCTGTTTTTTAGATGTTAGTGGAAGTCCATTCTGGGCCTGGGCCAGAAAAAATTAGCTACCGGTGCTGCCAAAGTGGTGCAAACTGGCTGAATCCCACCACTGACTGAGCCTTATGATCCAGGAAAGGGCACAGCATGAAGTTGCACAAAGGCTCTCCTAGCCATGACTGCTACCTGATCTCTTAGCACAGCGGTTCTCAACCTATGGGTCGCGACCCCATTTGGGGTCGATCGACCATTTCACAGGGGTCGCCAAGCAAGGCTGTCCGCCATTTTTTTTGTTCGCCATTTTTTTCCCTTTTCCAGCGGGTGCCTTACCTCCCTTGGGCTGGGCCAGCTGGTGGTCAGCCTGCTCCATCTCTGCCGCTTGCCAGCTACGCCTCGGCCAGCGCAGGGGGCGGAACCACACATGTGCGGCGCTCCCGGGCAGGGAAAGTCCTCGACTTATGACCGGTTGGGTAGTCCTCAACTTACGACCGGTTTAGTCCTTGACTTACGACCGGTTGGGGGTCGCGGCATTAAAAAGGTTGAGAACCACTGTCTTAGCAGGAGTTGTGTATCTAAGAGAACCCTCAGGCTGATTACAGGATCTGTGATCCAGAAGTAAAACTGCTAAACTCCTACATTCCAAGGCTCCATGCACCCATAGCCACTTGGACTAAGCAGAGTTCAGCTAAAGACC